ACGCCGCGGCAGCGCTGGGCGCTGCTTTGCGCAGAAAGCGGCGCTCAAGGTCTGTGTAAAACTTTTTTGTATGTAAAGGCCTCTCTGTGTAAATACTTCTGTGTGTAAAAGCTGCTCGGTGTAAAGGCTTCTTATGTAAAAGCTTCTGTGTCTAAAAGCTGCTTTGTGTAAAGGCGTCTCTGTGTAAAAGGGTCTGTGTCTGAAAGGCCTTTGTGTAAAGGCTGTCTTCTGTAACAGCCTCGCTCTGTGCAAAGGCTCTCCTGTGTAAAAATGTCTCTGTGTAAAGGCTGCTCTGTGTAAAGGCTTCCCTGTGGAAAAGCGTCTGTGTGGAAAGGCTGCTCTGTGTAAAAGCTTCTGTGTGTAAAGCTGCTCTGTGTAAAAGCTTCTGTGCCTCTGTGAAAAAGCTGTCCTGTGTGAAAGCTTCTGTGTGTGTAAAGGCTTCCGTGTGTAAAAGCGTCTGTGTGTAAACACGTCTGTGCGCAAACGCTTCTGTGTGTAAAGCTGTGTAAGGGCTGCTCTGTGTAAAGGTTTTGTGTGTAAAATTTGCTTTGCTCTGTGTAAAAGCTATCCTGTGTAAAAGCTTCAGTGTGTAAAGGCTTCTCTGTGAAAATACTTCTGTGTGTGAAAGCTGCTCAGCGTAAAGGCTTCTTAAGCTTCTTAGGTAAAAGCTTCTGTGTCTAAAAGCTGCTTTGTGTAAAGGCGTCTGTGTGCACAGGGCCTTTGTGTAAAAGCTGTCTTGTGTACAAGCTTCGCTCTGTGCAAAGGCTTTCCTGTGTAAGAACGTCTCTGTGTAAAGGCTCCTCTGTCTAAAGCCTTCCCTGTGGAAAAGCTTCTTTGCGTAAAAGCTGCTTGGTGTAAAAGCTTCTGTGTGTAAAGCTGCTCTGTGTAAAAGCTTCTGTGTGTAAAGGCTTCTGTGTGTAAAAGCTGCTCTGTGTCAAAGCATCTATGTGTAAAAGGCCTCTGTGTAAACGCTGCCCTGTGTCAAAGCTTCTGTGTATAAAGATTTCTCTGTGTAAACGCTTCTGTGTGTATGAGCTGCTCTGTTTAAAGGCTTCTGTGTCTAAAGGCTTCTGTGGGGGAAAAAGCTGCCCCTCTTTCATGCAGGCTGACCAGGGCAAACATATCGAGCCCTACCTGGTCTAAGCGGCAGTTCGCATCACCGCCCATGAGCAAAGACAGGCCACAGGATTTGCGACAACTGTTTTGGAGATTGGAGAGCTCCTCCTGGTAGGCAAGTGGAAAGAGCACAGGAAAATTTTGCCAAGGCTTGTACTCAGCAATGCACCAACGAGTTTGGCCGAGCAAGTCTAGTTGTTGAACTCGCTTGAAGGACTACTTGTGGAGGAGAACGGCTTGTGCCCTGAAGCCCGAATGCAGCGGCCAATGACAACCCAAAAGTTTTGTAAAGGCTGGCTGGCCGCCACGTTCCAAGCGGCCCAGTTGACCACGGCAGGGCTGTGGAGGGGAGCGGCCCGCGTTGACTGGAGAAAGTCGCTGAGGGCGGCTGCACCTCAGCCTGGTTTTTCCCGAGAGGGGTTGAGATAACCGCCGTGTGACAGTGGCAAGTCCTGCGCTTTTGCGCTCCATTGGTGTTTTGGATGGGGCTGTGCTAAGTGCGGTGTGTGGTTCAACTGGCGGAGCGCTTCGACCACTTTCCAGATGCTGGCTCGGTTGCGATGGGCTGGCACCAGAAGAAGAAGGACAAATGAACGGCGTTTGCCTGAGACCACCACCTTCTACCCTTTCCTCTGGTGTCCTTAGCTGGTCCGTCACTCCTCCCAGTTCCTCACGGATCTCCTCTTGATGGCCGGAGAGTTGTCCATGAAGTCTGGTACTCCTTGAAGACACCGGAGACAAGACCAAAGCCGCAAGAACTGCCGCATTCGTTGCGAGGCGGAATGCCAATCTCCCTCCAACTTTAGTTTTGGAAGAGGGACAAGAAGACACCGTATTCCACAAGGACACGGAACTTGGCCCTGATGTAGAAATAGCTCCCCGCATGGTGCACGCGTGAGGTGAAGTCATCAAAGAGTCCACCACATGGTTCATAGGATTGGTTTTGGGAAGGGCCACTGAACATAATGCCATTTTTGTGTGCTTTTGATGTTTTAGTAGTGTCACATTGCACTTGTGTCATGGGTTCATCACAAGCCTGTTTGCTCGAAGTGACGGCACTTGCAACCTCTTTCATCCTTTTCTTTAAGTCATTCAAGGCTTTCCATGCTGATCCGAAGGTGTAGGTGTGACCTTGCATGATCCCTCGCAGTCGCTGGAGTGGATCTCCATCAGCTCTGGTGTGGTCAGCTTCTCCTTCGTGACTGGCACCTTGGGAGTCGGACTTGGTGCTTTCCTCGCAACCGCTGACTTTGCACTTGGAGTCACTGTGGCAGATGGCTGGCTCTGAACTGCCCGTTCCTCCTCCGGACCCAGAGCTCTGGATGGAGGGCTGTTGCTTTTCACATTCTTCAGGGTATAGCCTTAGGAAGAACTTGGTCAGCCAGAGGCTGAGAATCCTGGAAATATTTATTTTGTCATTTTGTTTGTCATTTTTCTGTCATTTTGGCCTTGTAATTTTTTGTCATTCCTAAATTCTACCTGTCATTGTTCTGTCATTTTTCTGCAATTTTTCTGTCATGTTTCTGTCCTGTTTCTGTCATTTGCCTTGTCATTTTTTGGTCATTCTTAAATCCTACCTGTCATTGTTCTGTCATTTTCTATCATTTTCTATTGGTTTTCTTCATTTTTCATTTGTTTTCTTTGATTTCTTCACTTTTTCATTTGTTTTCGTTGTTTCTCTTCAATTTGGTCATTGGTTTTCCTAATTGTTTAACTGTTAAATTGTTTTCTTTTGTTTTCTATTTTTGTCAAATGTATTCTTTACTTTTTCAATGGATTTCTTCAATTGTTTAATGGATTTGTTGGTTTCAGGCTAGAAAAATAAAGAAATTATCCACAAAATCAAAGAAAATCATAAAAAATAACAGAAAATAACAAAAAAATGATTAAAAAATGACAGGAAAATGATTTTAAAAAATGGCAAAAACTCGATGTTTTTGACAAGTTTAAATTTCCTTGTGGTTCATTAACTGACATTTTTTGTCATGTTTTGTCATTTTTTTGTTATGTTTCATGGGTTTCCTTCATATTTTCATGGTTTTACTGTGTTTTTGTGACTTTTCAATGGTTTTCCTTGGGTTTCTTCAATTTTCTATTGGTTTTCTTCATTTTTCATTTGTTTTCTTTGATTTCTTCATTTTTTCATTTGTTTTCGTTGTTTCTCTTCAATTTGGTCATTGGTTTTCCTAATTGTTTAACTGTTAAATTGTTTTCTTTTGTTTTCTATTTTTGTCAAATGTATTCTTTACTTTTTCAATGGATTTCTTCAATTGTTTAATGGATTTGCTGGTTTCAGGCTAGAAAAATAAAGAAATTATCCACAAAATCAAAGAAAATCATAAAAATAACAGAAAATAACAAAAAAATGATTAAAAAATGACAGGAAAATGATTTTAAAAAATGACAAAAACTCGATGTTTTTGACAAGTTTAAATTTCCTTGTGGTTCATTAAATTCTGTCATTTTTTGGTCATGTTTTGCCCATTTTTTTGTCATTTTTCATTGATGTCCTTCATACTTTCATGGTTTTACCGTGTTTTTGTGACTTTTCAATGGTTTTCCTTGGGTTTCTTCAATTTTCCATTGGCGTTCTTCATTTTTCTTGTGTTTTCTTTGATTTCTTCAATTTTTTCACTGGTTTTCTTACTTGTTTCAATTGTTTCCTTTGATTTTCTTATTTTTTCAAATGTGTTCTTTACTTTCTCAATGGATTTCTTCATTTGTTCAATAAATTTGTTGGCTTCATGCTTGAAAAGTAAAGACATTTTCGAAAAATCAAAGAACATCATAAAAAATAGCAGAAAAATAACAGAAAAATGTTTAAAAAATGACAGAAAAATCCGTAGCTGCTAGCTGAGGATATTGCGGCTTCTTGGTTCAATGGACCTAGTCCCACCACCACGACTGTGTTTACAACCTTTGGTTGAGACCTTGGTGGTTCGTCTGCACCTCGACCTGGGCCCTGACCCTCAGCATAGCCGCATTTCAGTAACTTTGCCTATCCATCTTCCCAGCAGCCTCTGGTTCCTGGATGCCAGTAGATCGATGGAGAAACAGTCCATTGTCATACAGAATCAATGCCTTCTTTGACCTCATCAAAGTTCTTGCACCCAAGTGGCGGGGTTGGGCTACCTTGACCACCCAAAACGTAAAATGAGACATCCCCAAGTGAGGTTCCATGCAGATCCACCCGGCTAAGTGCCTGGTCCCGATGTCCATTGCCAAAGCGACAGGGCGGAAGGTCCTCATTAGCAAACGCTGCAGGAAAAACGAAGGGAACCTACACCAACAGCATTTTCTGTGGCACCAGTGTCAATGATTGCTAACACTTTGCCGTTCGATGCCAGCTCATCCCATTCCACTGTCAGGACATTCAGATGGACGTCATAGTTAATATGACTGTCCTTTTCCCTTGTGGCTCTTACCAAATTTTCCTTTAGCAAAAGACTTCCCTTTTGATTTTCCTTTTGAAAAACGATCAGGACACTGAGCATATGAATGACCGGGCTTACCACCAATAAAACATGGACCAAAACCTTTCTTTGACTTCCCTCTTCCTCTCCCTGCAACGGAAGCACGTGCTTGCCTCACCTTCTTCACAGCATCTCGCGCTTCCTGCAGGGTGCGAGCTGCCTCATTGGCTAAGGCATATGCTTTGTGGAGTTGATTTTCTTCTGCACAGTTGCTTTGTCATCGGGAAAGGTTTCCTCATTCCCCTCATCAACGTATGGCTCTTCCCATGGTTCATCATGCCAGTCATCTTAATATATCATAATCATTATATGAACCAGGAGGTGAACCACCATAACAGTAAGCATCATGTTGATATCATTGTTACCAATCATCTTCATTCCACTCATCATCCATGGACCACCAAATACGACCTGGATGAGACGGCTGAGTGCGCTCAGGATCATCAGAAAACAGAGTTCTAAGAGCACGGCGAATGGCAACAAAATGCGTCGAATACGACGTCTGAACCAAAAAGTTTTGTCGCTCTTGGCTGCTGAGGCGACATGCCCGCAGAAGCCGATATAGCCTCTCATCTCATCTTCGAAGAAATCCATGGGAGCATTGGGAGATACATCCACTTTTGGAGCAGCTGATGGAACAGAACTGGGCTCATCAGGACGACATCCCATCACAGCAGGCGACCTTGACGGAATTGGTGGAGGACCTTGCTCATGCATTCAGGGAACCTCTTGACCAGCAGACACGGCACCACGGTCTTTCTGTGATGGATTCCTTGTCTCTCCTTCGCATTCCGCTCCAGCGCCCCATACGGGAAAACGAATCTGGAATTGGGAGTTGTTGTAGCGGAGAGGAACGTAAAACTTCCAGAAACCGCAACAACCCATCTGTGCCTTCAAAAGCTTCCAATTACATGTGTTTTACGACCGATTTGCAGCACCTGACAAGTGACCCCATAGTCGAGCCACCACCAATCATCTATCTGAGTCTATCTGCCTCTTTTTGGTGCCCTCTGATACCACTTGCATGACATTGCATATGCCTCAAATATGCCTCAAATTCAGCAGGGTCACCACTCCACGATGGTACGTCTTCCTTGTACCCTGTCGTCATTCCCGGTGGTATTTTTCAGGAGCCCCCCGGCCTGGCTCCGCTACCATACAATTCTCAACACGCCAAGGATAGATCACCAGCAAATGGTGAATGATATGGCTTACGCACAGCCGCAACAATTTTCCTGGGGCTATTGGCTCTTGATCCGACCGCTTCAGATGCATGCCAAAGTGTCATGTATTGCCTCATGATCAAATGGTTCAAGTGACACAGGAATGACTTCTGAAATTGCATTTTGGCTCAACTTTTCAAGTGTCATTTAAGAATAGTTGGGTTTTTTTGGATTTTTTGGTGCTTCTTTCAGTTCGTTTTAGGTATGTTTATGTAGGACGGCTGTTTTTTCCCGAGAGCGTCTGAGCGCAGGGTTCTTCCAATAGTGGGGGTCTGTCTCTCATCTTCTCATCTTCACATCTTCTCATCTTCACATTTTCTCATCTTCACATCTTCTCATCTTCACATCTTCTCATCTTCACATCTTCTCATCTTCACATCTTCTCACTTCACATCTTCTCATCTTCACATCTTCCCATCTTCACACCTTCTCACTTCACATCTTCTCATCTTCACATCTTCTCATCTTCACATCTTCTCATCTTCGCATCTTCTCATCTTCGCATCTTCACATCTGCTCATCTTCACATCTGCTCATCCTCACATCTTCACATCTTCACATCCTCACATCTTCACATCTTCACATCTTCTCCTCTTGCCGCCTCTTGGCCTCTTGCCCTCTTGCCCTCTTCTTCACATCTTCTCATCCTCACATCTTCACATCTTCATCACATCTTCATCACATCTTCACATCCTCACATCTTCACATCTTCACATCTTCTCCTCTTGCCCTCTTGTCCTCTTGCCCTCTTGCCCTCTTGCCCTCTTGCCCCTCTTGCCCCTCTTGCCCTCTCCTTCTTTTCTATTTCTCTTCTGAAGGCGGGGGCCGGGGCAGTGCCAACGAGACGGCACGAAACGCAACTCTTTCGCACGAAACGAGGTTCGATCGCCAAAAACTGAGGTAAAATTGCGATTCGAACTTGTCCCGCGCAACTCTTTCGCACGAAACGAGGTTCGATCGCCAAAAACTGAAATAAAATTGCGATTTCAACTTGTCCGGCGCAACCCTTTCGCACGAAATGAGGTTCGATCGCCAAAAACTGTGGTAAAACTGCGATTCGAACTTGTCCCGCACAACCTTTTCGCACGAAACGAGGTTCGATCGCCAAAAACTGAAATAAAATTGCGATTTCAACTTGTCCGGCGCAACCCTTTCGCACGAAATGAGGTTCGATCGCCAAAAACTGTGGTAAAACTGCGATTCGAACTTGTCCCGCACAACCTTTTCGCACGAAACGAGGTCGATAGAAAATTGCAACGTCCTGTGTGTAAAAGCGTCTCTGTGTAAACGTGTCTGTGTGTAAAAGCGTCTGTGTGTAAAGGCGTCTGTGTGTAAAGCGTCTGTGTGTAAAAGTGTTAGTGTGTAAAAGCGTCTGTGTGTAAAAGCTTTTGTGTGCAAAAGTGTCTTTGTGTCAAAGTGTTAGTGTGTAAAAGCGTCTGTGTGTAAAAGCTTCTGTGTGTAAATGCTTCTGTGTGTAAAAGCTTTTGTGTGTAAAAGCGTCTGTGTAAAAGCTTCTGTGTGTAAAAGCATCTGTGTGTAAAACTGTCTGTGTGAAAAAGCGCCTGTGTGTAAAAGTGTCTGTGTGTAAAAGTGCCTGTGTCAAAGTGTTAGTGTGTAAAAGCGTCTGTGTGTAAAAGCTTCTGTGTGTAAAAGCTTCTGTGTGTAAAAGCTTTTGTGTGTAAAAGCGTCTGTGTAAAAGTGTTTGCGTGTAAAAGTGTCTGTATGTAAAAGCCTATGTGTGTAAAAGCGTCTGTGTGTAAAAGCTTCCGTATGTAAAAGTGTCTGTGCGCAAAAGCTTCCGTATGTAAAAGTGTCTGTGTCTAAAAGCATCTGTGTGTAAAAGCGTCTCTCTGTAAAAAGTTCTGTGTGAAAAGCTATACAAAAGATACGATGCAAACTACTGTCTTGTACTTGTGCTATATTGTCTTGATACTCCTCTTTTCGACTGCGTTATTGAGGGTTGGTTTGTGGCCTGTTCAAGGTTGCTTTCGGGCTTATATAGGGTTAGTTCCGGAGACCAAAGGACGAGGAGGGTAAAGGAGCAGACAGGGGACCAGATCAGGGGAACCTCAAATTATGTGTCCCTTAATTTTATATTTTTCCATGGTCCTACCAGGAAACTTAGACTCTTTTCCTGCATCATCCCCGTGACAAGCGGACAGGTGGAGGTCGTCTGAGCTTCACATTTATTGCTGAAGTGAGCATATCGAACTGCGGTGAAGATGCGGGGTTGGCAACAAAATTCAGGCTTCAGCGACAAGCGCCTGTTTTCCTCTTTGGTGGTCACACGCACGCAATCAGAGCAACAATGGCTTCCAGACTTTGTGTCTTCTTGCTGAGCTGAATACGCTGGGCAAATATGCAAGTTGTACAAATGCAGAAGAGAAAGCAAAATAAACCAAAGGTCTTCGCATGGGTGTGTTGGACACATGGACCAATGGATACAAATGGTGTGTACTGTGGAAATCTTGGTGCCCCCAGCTGACTGAAGCTGCGGCAAATCATTAAATCAAGAGAGGGGGACGCCCCACGCCCGTGTAATTTCCATATAAATCACTATTTTTGACAAAGTCCCTATATAATGAGTTTTAAGACCTGTTCTCATTGCTGCAGGTTGTATCGCATGACTTGTCACATTATGTATGTATATTTATGCTCCAGTCCGGAGTTCGTGCCCTATCCTTCTAAGCTACTTGGTGCGTGTGCCCGTCATGCCTTTGGAAGCGGAAGATATGACGTATGACGATTTGAAGGAACCCTTCGTCAACAATAAAATTAGATTCTTAAGAGGGACCTCTCTGAAGTAAAAATCAAAATTATTTCGTTTTTTTGGGTTGGCTGGGGTGGAAACAATTTTTTTTAATTTCCTGAACAGCAAGGCCTAATTTCCGATTTTCTGGAGGTGGTGGCTCTGTTTGTGTAGTTTTCTTCTGAGCAAGGAATACCATCCTCTTTTCAAAGGAATGAACAAATATAATATATTGCATCCTTCTCAAGGAAACTTGCATAAAGGCATGCTGCACTGTTGTCTCTGAAAGAGCACTTGCTTATTGAAGAATACCCTTTCAAAATAATGCTATATTTCCTGCAAGGAACACTATACTTCTTCAAATGGCAATTCCATGCATTGCGCTTTATTACAGACACATCACCCTCTTTCAAAGGGATTGTTGTATATATGAAAGGGCTCCCTTTTGTACAACAACTTACTGTAAATCACACCATGCTCAGCCATACTCTTTCACTAGGACTGCTGTGTGTCTTGAAGGCTACTTCTCAAAGAGATGCTACATACTTTTGAAAGGAAAATTGTGTGTAACTGTATATATATATAGTTTTAATAATATCATAGAGTGAATTATGTTATTTGAAAATCATATTATATGTTCCAAAAGAATCATATTTTTCCAAGTAATATGGCTTTCTTACAGACACATCACCCTCTTTCAAAGGGATTGTTGTATATATGAAAGGGCTCCCTTTTGTACAACAACTTACTGTAAATCACACCATACTCAGCCATACTCTTTCACTAGGACTGCTGTGTGTCTTGAAGGCTACTTCTCAAAGAGATGCTACATACTTTTGAAAGGAATATTGTGTGTAACTGTAAATATATATATAGTTAATAATATCATACAGTGAATTATGTTAATTGAAAACTATATTGTATTTTCCAAATGAATAATATTTATGGAAGTAATATGGCATAACACCGGTGTTTAAATCCAGATTTCATGAAACCATCAAGTACTGTCTGAAAGGAATGCCGCTTTTCTGAAAAACACTAATGTATATGCATATTTTATCTTAAGGAAATGCTACCCTTCTCTAAAAGGACTACTACCTCTATGGAAGGAATTACATATATGTTCATTAAAATATATGGAAGACAGAACGCACTTGTTCTAAATGAATGCTATGCACATCTGAGGGTCTTGCTTTACACTTTCTCAAAGGAATGTTGCTCCCTCTATAGAAGAATGTTGCATAGAGGCATGCCACAACTTCCTCAAGAAATGCCACATTCTTCAAATTTTCAACGATGACTTATGAGAAGCATGCTGTGGCCCTTAGAATCTGAGTTGATGC